TTTCGTCGGCTCTGCCAGCCGGTACCTAATAACAGTTGGTAAACAAACCTTGACATTCAGACCTATAGCCGTGTCAACCGTGCGTCTACCTCACCGGACTGTAGGAGACTAATTTTCGTCGGCTCTGCCAGCCGGTACCTAATAACAGTTGGTAAACAAACCTTGACATTCAGACCTATAGCCGTGTCAACCGTGCGTCTACCTCACCGGACTGAATTACTAACAAAACAACCAACAAAGAAGACAAGTATAAAAACGCTTTATTACTGATTTGCACAGTAAACGGTTTTCTTCCCTTTCACGCTTGGCATTCATGGCTGGGTATGGAGCAAGCGAGAAAACTTAGTTGAAAATCTTTGAAATGCAAGATAGTAAGAAACATTCCAACATAAATTGCTCAAGCAACATAAGTTTTCTTATTAGCATATAATTTCAGGAGGGTCTGAATTCCGGAGGTGTCCACTTGTCGGTTGTCCGCGGTTAAAATTCAGTTACTAACTTTGTAGGTAGTCGGTTAAACTTTTCGATTTTTGTCTGTTGTCGGAAAATCTCAGTTAATAACAAAGTAAAAACGCTTATTAATTATAAATGTACATATTTTTTAATGTATTTCACCCAAATTCAAAACTTTGATCCCTAAGGAAAGAGTAAAACTTGCAAGAATGCATCATTTAATTGGACTTAAACTTCATTAATCTTGTTTGTTTATGCAACATGATAGTTTATTTTACCATTGTTTGCCAAATGAATCAGTAGTACTGATAAAATCACCAAAGCTTTTATTATAATGAGAACTTAGTTTCCCTGTCGACTACAGGGCAAAGTAAAAAGTAATTAATTAATTAATGGACTCTAGCCTTTTGGATACTTAAAGTAATTTTAGTGAAAAACTGCTAGGTGTGACAGGCTGCTCATCCGTATACCTTTAATGTTTTGGCTTTAACAAGCATGTCCTTTGCGCAATTTCCCTTTCTCAAAGAAATAGCACTTTGGGTGGTTCTTTAAAAAATTCAGAGTAGTGGTTGGTTTTGTATGAGATTCCACTTTTTCTTATAATAGACTCTAAGGGCCGGTATTGTGTCACGAAAGGCAATATTTGTTTTTCTTCTTTGTTGTTTGTTTCAGGAGAGCTTCCTTCCTTTCTGTGACTGAGTTTTGCTTCTTTTACTTCTTTCTTCTTTCAAGCTTTCAGGCTACTCGTTTTTCAAATCCATCTTAACAATTGTTGGGTGATAAGAGGTGAAAATGTATATACTAGAAGGTTTCCGTTTAAAAGGCGTCTTTACGTCAAGGATAGCTTTTTCTCATTTTTCGTTGAATGTAGTGCCTAATGGTATACAACCGGGTCTAAAAAGATTGTCTCAATGTCAGATATTTCGGCCGTGAATCTCATAACGGGGTGATGTACGTTTACTTCTTCCGCGAAGAAGTCTATACTGAACGATGTCTGGTTTACGCATGTCCCATAGGGGAAAATTGGCATCTATTATGAAGCGTTTTCAAACAGTTGGTTTAAAGACGGTTTTGCTTAAACTTTGTGTTTCAATGTATGCCATGCTTAAAAGTTGGAAAGGAAACTGCTGTCTTTGGGCTCATCTCGGTACCGTGGGTTTGCACTGATAGTGCTTTCCATTAAACTGGAAAGGATCTTCTTTGAGGATTAATCTAAGCATTTCTCGGACCGAAACAAGAAACGTTTGATTTTTTTACCTTTTTTTTTCAATAAAATTTATAAAGTCAGTAGCAGCATTAAAGTGTGACTTCTGTGATTTTGATATTGGTCGTAGCAATGTACCTGTAACAAAAAAAGAGGAAATTGTTCTGTTAGACCATCTGATGAAACAAAATACAAAATGCTCTTTTTTCTTAAAACAAGTATTGATAATGTCAGTCCATGTCGGCAGT